TCCAGTACTGGCCCATTGGCGGTCGAAAAACAGTCTCCAGTATTGTTGCCAAATGCATAATCTGTTTTCGTGCCAAGCCACGATTGGCCGAGCATATAATGGCAGACCTACCAGCTGATCGTCTTAATACATCGTATCCCTTTATGGTCACTGGCGTTGATTACTGTGGACCATTTTACTACAAGAACGAAGTGCGCAACAGGCCACCAGTGAAATGCTATATCAGTCTGTTCATATGCTTCGCTACAAAGGCGGTGCACTTAGAGCTTGTAAAGGACTTGTCCACAACATCGTTTCTAAACGCCCTAAAACGTTTCATCCTGACTCGCTCTCGACCTTCAAGGATCTGGTCTGACAATGCGACAAACTTCGTAGGTGCCAAGAACGAACTAGCAGATCTGAACCGCCTGTTCCTGAGAGACGAGCATGTCAAGGCCGTTAACGAGTTTTGCCTAACCGAATCAATTGAATGGTTGTTCATCCCTCCTCGCTCTCCGCACTTTGGTGGACTATGGGAAGCCGCTGTGAAGACTGCTAAGCACCACTTTTATCGATCTGTTTGCTCTTCCATTTTGGATTTCGATTCGCTGCAGCATCCAGGTGATCTTGACGTCTTGACACCCGCACACTTCCTGGGTACAGCGCCATCTTCATCATACATTGAGCCCGATCTAAGGCAGCTTAACTTCAATCGGCTTAATTATTTTCAGCGCGTCACATATCTCCAACAAGTATTCTGGGCCCGTTGGCGCGAAGAGTATTTGACGCTTCTTCAACAGCGCTCCAAATGGCGCACTCCTCAGCCTGGACTCTCCATTAACGATGTTGTCCTTGTAAAGGATGAGAATCTACCGCCGCTGAAGTGGCCACTCGCCAGAGTGCAAGAGCTGATCTCTGGATCTGATGGGGTATCCAGAGTTGCTGTGCTTCAAACTGCGACTGGAGTCATACGTAGAGCTGTACGAAAGCTGTGTTTGCTGCCCAAACAGGATGATGTTGAAAGCCCTTGCCTTCCAACGGGGGGAGAATGTTTGGTCAAGTAACAGCAGAGATAACACCGACGGCTGCGGACATCATCCAACAGCAGAAAATAACAATCATAATTACAGCCTAAGAGCAAATAGTTTTTTTTGCGCGCTCTTTGTAAGCTGCTGTCCACTCTCCTTCTGAATTGCTTTGCTTGCATTGCTGCCCTTCGCTCTAACCGGCGAGCGTCTGATTGGAGTTTCGTTTCGATTCGCTTTACATATTGTTATAAGCTGTCAGTCTTTCGTTTTGATCGCAACCTAGGCACAACTAATTCGAGTTGGCTGCCAAGCAACAATTTAAAACTTATAAATTCTAATAAGTGCCCTGCGCGGCAAATAAATCCATTTGAAAACTAATCTAAGTGTTTGAATTTCGCTGCACAAGCAGTTAGAATTAATTGGTTGCAAAAAAGCTTGCAACTACACAGCTATCTTGTACATATAGGTCAACAGCAGGGATAATCAAGAAACTAAGTGTGAGGCCAAGCGTGAATCAAATTTGGAAGCCAGAAGCAAAGCAAAAAGCGTTGTTGCGCAAAAATTTACGGTAATTAACCGGCAATTTTATTGTTAGCTAAAGAGAAGCTAAGAATGAATACTACTGGCTGTATACAAATAAGAAAAGAGGACAGAAAGCTGAACAGCAGAGCAAAGGGAGACGCAAGGTAAGAAACTAAGTGGCGGGATTAGAAGAAGTAAACAGTCAAGCGAAAAGTAAAATGATTCGCGAGAAGCTACCAAATAAAAAAGCCTTGTTCTTATAATGAATTAGGAAAAACAAATCTTTAATTTCTTTGTAAGCTTCACTCCTTAAATCTTCCCGCAGTGCTGCCTGTTCTTTGCAGCTTCTTCTACTGCATCCTGCCTGAGGGCTTTCAGAAGTAAGTATAATATAAAGAATCACACATGGTTCGCTTAACGTTTCTCTCATTCTTCTGTACGTATGTCTCAGCATTAGAAAGAGTGATAAATCTCATTTATGACATTAATTTTCGAGCACTTTAAGTTTTTCTGCCAAGTCTCTTTGTTGCTAGATTTCATATAAAATATTAGTTTTGTACCAGCTTTAACCGACAGGAAAACGTTTGTGCGCATTTTTTAAATTATAGATGGGTTAGCCCAACATTTGCGTTGCTTTCTTAGTCGTCGTCGTTGATTGTCCTTCAGGTGTGTCCATTTAGCCGTGGCAGCATAGCAAATTCCCAGCTAGCAGTCATGCAATCCTTCCACACACACATTCACGGACATATCCTGCATAAATGGAATTGAGTGGGGTAGCTGTAAAAGGAGTTGCCCTCATGCCATGACAAGCATTTGATTTGCAACTAACGACACGAGGTTCTTTTTGTTTTGGTTGTTCCATAGCAAACGCCAACTACATATTTGCAATCTTTACGTCGACTACATGGCTATAAAAATAAATTACACTGAGCTTAAAACTTATGTGCATCAGGAAGAAAAATGGCTTATGGACGCGCAACGAAATAAACGAGTGAAACGAATGAATCGAATGGCAGAGGGGAACGACGCGAGGTGAGGCGAGACGACCAAATGACCAATCGACCTGACCCTCGAATGGCAACGTTGATGAACGTTATGGCTCTTCTTGTTGCTGGCGTTCAATTGGAGCGCTCCAAATCTACTACACTCACACACGTAGAGAGGGAAAAGGAGAGCGCGCTGAGGTGCCTGCTAAGCGCTAACGGTAAAGGTAAAGCTTTAAGCCGACAATGAAGACATTAACATGACCAACGACAACGACAACGACAACGACAGCGACGACGTCGACGTCGACAAAACTCTATGCCATGGCTCATCACATTAATCTTCTTAATACGCCCATCAATAATTCAAAGCCAAGGCATGACCAGTCCGCACCAGACCCGACCAGAGACCATGTGCTGGCCCAAAGCTGTTCAAAGTTGTTGCCTCTGTGCCCACATTGTTGTCCACTGTTTGGACACGCAACCATTTACCGAGTATTGAACACTAGCCAAGTGTTGAGTGAATTATGACGCACTGTTCGGCTTCAGCTCGAGCGGCCACCTTCGAGACGTAGAAAGGAGGCAGCCAGGGGGATAGAGAACTGTTTGTCGTACATCAAAATCAAACTATAACATACAAATATTGAACTCACCCGCATGGCACTTCAAATGGTAACCGACAATGAAACTTTATGGCTCGTTAGCATTTGATTTATGCGCAGCTGCCGAAAAAATATCTATAGTTCGATGCTAGCCCGACAAGGAGATACCCTGTGGTTTGGCTTAAAATATTTGAACACTAAAATTGTGTTCACATGTGTCAATAGAAATTTTCAAATTGCAAAGAAGTATTATTAATAGCGCTATAGTCGGCAATGGCTGACTAGATTGATACCCTGTACTTAGGAGAGAAATATTCATGCATGCTACATGATAGACATAAGAATATGCAAAATGCTTTGACGTATTCTATGAACAATTCAAAGAAAGTGTTGTAGTGGCGTGTGGTTGACTTGACGATGCCCTGTACTCTGTAAGAGAATCTGTGTCTATCAGCCGTTCCTTATGAAGTTTTCAGCATTTAAAGATGTTTGGCAACTATAAACGTAGGTTATAAAATAAAAATGGTTTGTTTTGATATTAGACAACAGAGCGAAATTTGTTATACCTGATAAATACACTTTCGTATACCCATTTAATGTGCATTGAATAGGTAGAGGGTATATAAAAGTATTGAAAATGATTTCATATCGTGGTCATGTTGAACCGCTTCTTGCAGTCAGAGTGAATGCCTCTGAATGTAATTGTATTTGAATGACATATGCATGACCAATAGGCTTGGGCAGGCGTGGACTCAGTTCTGTGGAGGCACATGTCCATTGTCAATGTGACAGTGACAGGCTACCGGGCCAAAAGGCGCCAATCCACAATTCCCGACCTGTCCATTGTTTCGACTGGACAATGTGGCGCAGCATTTCACCTGTGCCGCACACACTTGACAATTTGGTTCCGCTCGTTGGAATTTCTGGTGCAGATTTCGCTGATTTTGACGCCTACTTCGGCACTCAAGTGCCCACCGCTGAGGCCATGCAAAGCGCTGAGGCCTTTTGTCCAGTTCGGCAATTGTTCCCCATTCAGCGCATTGTTCAGGCATTGCATGTGTGTCAAGCCTTCGTTTTACTTTTTGGCTCTTTGGGTTTTCGGAAGCCTTATCAATTTAAGCTTAAATGGCGCTGATTGTGTCAAAGGGTCGAGCCACGAGATAAGGTTTCAACGCCCAACCTCCTATAAAACATGCCAGCAGCAGACGAAATATTTTAGTTTCAAGAATTGTTAAGCAGAGACAAAACGTAAGTGACAAAAGCTGTGCAAAGAACTTAAATGGAAACATAAGTTCAAGAAATGCAACACAAGTGAAACTAAATTTGTCGTTTAAGAATGCATAAAGTCAAATGCAGCAAATGTTTGATATTAAGCAAGCAAGGCGTCAACTAAGTATAAACTAAATTGTTGCATATAAACAGATTGCCAGTTTCCAAAGAATGCATAATCGACTGTTCAGTTTTTCGGGTAATAATGTATCTCAAGTTATTCTTGATATAGTATTAACAGATTCCCAGTTTCCAAGGAGTTCACACGGATCGACTGTTCAATCAGTTTGTCGACTTACTAATAGATCTCTTAGCTTACCCTCATAGCTATTTTACTGACAGCTTATTCTTTCAAGCATGCATATATGCGTTTAAACTATGCTGTGTTATAAAATAACTCTATAAATAGGAATTCTTTAATTCTTAACTCTTCTTTAACAGAAGAAAAGGTTTTCACAAATATTGCAAATCTTTAAATTAAACCATATAATTTTGGGAATGTATTCATTTATATATTGATTAAATAATGAATCTTTATAAAAATGATTACTTTATTTTAACCTGTTCTATATTTATGCCAACTAAACCTTCTTACTTGTTTATGCTTGCAGTTAATAAAAAAATGAACTTCTCGTGGTTGTGCCTGGTTATCTTTGCCCTGTTCGCTGGTGTTGTTTCCGCTGGCAAATGCCCCAAAGATTTTAAGAGTGAGAACGGCCAATGCATTAGCCAGCGCACTATTCGCGGCGAGTGCCCCACGGGCTCCACCTATAAGATTGGCGTCAACGCCTGCGTTTATGGTGCATAGTTTGGAGCTGAACTAAATTGAATAAAATGTAATTGAAATCCATATAGACGTTGTTTTGATTTAATTAATCGCTGAATAGTCTTATTTTGCACACATTTCATTATCAATTTGCCCGACATTAACCCAATGATCGGCCGACCCCATTAGAACTAGGGATGATCTTTTCTTAGTCCGAAATGTAAACAGCTGCAGCTGATAAGTCGCGTGCCGGCTCTATATAAGCGCACAGCTGAGTGCAGATCCGTGAGTAGTTGCATTTTGCATTTACTACAGGTGGGAACTGCACTTGATTAAGGTGAAACGTATTCAACCAACGTAAACTGTAATTACTCCTCGTAGAAAACACACTCGGCAAATATGAACTGCAGTTGTGCTTGGCTTGTGATGCTGCTTCTGGCACTGCTCGGTACCGCCTGGGGCTCCAGCTGCCCGACCGGCTTCAGCAGCGAGACGAATCTGTGTGTCAAGGAACGGCCCGTGCATGGCACCTGCCCGCCCGGCTCGACCTATCAGCTGAATATCAACAAGTGTGTGCATGCTTAAGGTGTCCGATATATGTGTATATATATTTAAAATATTCTTATATATTTTGTGACCAAGGTAAAGATAATCACGGCAAATAAATCCAAAGCAGAAAAGAAGATCTTAAATTAGGGAATCACGATCAATAATTCATAACAAATTTCATGCCGTCGAGCCAATTATTTCGACGCTGGTGGGCGCGTGCATTGGGCTAGAGTTCAAAAATTGCCGCAGATTAACGAACGTGTCACGCGGATACGGCTACGGCTACTGCTGATGGTCAAAAGACGGACATACAGACAGGCAGACATTGGCCATTAGTTTATTACCATGTAATTGACTCAACGCTTGTCAGACAACGTTGACGTCGACATCAGCTCCTGCTGCTTTAATGTGCTGCATTTAATGACCAGACGGAGACCAACATCAACATCAACACCAATATCAACAGCGACACCAGCGACACCGACACCAAAAGCAGCAGCAGCAGCAGCAGCAACAACGTTGACAGCGCATCAAAGTCAAAGCGGTTTGTCTCTTTGTCCGTACATATGTCTATCAGTCTGGTGTGATTGGCGCGATTGTTTGCCTGCACTCTGGACCCCGCTTATCAACGTGCAATTGAAGCGCTTTAGCTTACGTAATCAAATGCCTCAAAGATTTTGCTGTAGTTCAACACGGCTCAGTTGAGTTGTTTGCGGTTCAGTGGTTCGGCGGCTGCTATAAAATTCATTAAAAACTTTGCCCCGCTACTTTGGCCACTGGAAATGCCTAAAAAGCGCCTGCAACATTTAACAGCAACAGCAGTAGAAAAAGTTTGCCAAGTCCAAGCTGTCGACAGGATGTGCAGCAAACCCAATTGCATATGCCAATGCAAAAGTTTTCCCAAGCAAAATGTCCACCCGACCTAGCAGTACTGACAAGCAAACTTAAAAAAAGATAGATAAAATAGAGATTCAGCTTATTTAGCTCGAATTAAGCCAAACAAATGTTATTTAAAAAGCTGTACAAAAATATTACAAAATTCCGACCATCTATGAATTCATGAAAGAAGTACAATAAAAAATAAAAACCAAAAACAATCGCTGATAGAAATTATGTAATCGGAATATGATATTATTTCATGCACCCTAAATGTTTGTACTCAAAGAATACCAAAACAAAAAAGGCGTATAGTTTAAAATCTCAAATACATAACATTTTTTACTTATTTTTCTATACATTTTTAATAAATTTATCTACTATATTTGAGAATATAAGAACAGCAAAATACTTCTGGCTAAAATATAGCTAGAACCAATTCGATGCCATTACTGACACCATAAACTAACATTCTTGTCACTGGGGCTTGTAAATTTCTATGACTTGCATAAAAATGGCCCCCGAACGCTTCCGCCGCTCGGGGGTTTCCTTTTGGCCTAAAAGTTTTCCGTGCTATGTTGGCAGGCAGGCAGGAAATAAGGAAATGTTGTCAGCAGTAGTATTTGCTGCCTGGCCAGCGACATTTATCAGTCAGTTGTTGCGGTGCTGTCCATGGTGGCTAGTTGGACAATTTTAAAACTGTCACAAGTGGCTGCCACGGCATTGCCACTGCCACAACCTCATCCTGCCACGTGCAACGCCTTTTGCCAGGCAGCAACTGTTGAGGGGCTGAAGTTGCCTCAATAGCCGCATGTTTTCGTGTGCCCTGGCCGAGATAGGAACCGCTCCTTGCTGCCGTTGCCCGGCTTCCAGGGCCAGCGCACTGCCGCCCCTGCCTAGCTGCTATGCAACTCACGCGTAAATATGACGAACGTAAGCAGTAAAGTTCTGGCCAACTGATAGCCAACACCAACGCAGCTCCTGCTGGCCAAAACTTTTACAAGACGTTGTCGCAAGTTTATGGCCCACAATGCACTCTCTTTCACTCGTTTTCTTGGCTTATGTTGTTGTTGTCATTGCTCTTCTTGTTGGCTGCAATTCAAGAATGTTGCAATGGCGTTTTCTTATCGCGCTCGGCTTTGTCCTGCGGCTGGCTGCAAAAACGAAAGTGTGGCCATAATTTCTGGGTTTTCCGCTGTGTTGCTGCTGTTGCGGCTGCTCCTTGGGCTACTCAAGCATTTCGTCCAGCGTCAAAGTTTATTGATGCTGACGTTGCAAACTTCTTTGCAACTGCAATTCATTCAACATTACTACTATGCCTTGCATTTCCGTTAATGCCGATTCAGGACATCTCTCAAGTTTATTTTATAATTACGGAATGCTGTACCCGCAGTAGGGATAAATGATTAATTCATTAATACAGCCTTAATGCTGTTTCGAAAACTTATTGATTTTAAAAATACATGAAATACATTTACTACCTGCCTATTTTTCAAGTATATTCACTCTGTTTTGAAAACTATACAATTAAAATTTTCTTCGCGAATAATTTTGAGCTATTCAAATTTAGAGTCAAAATATTTGTTCTTTAATAAAATTTTATAATAGTGCATTTTTTAATATTTCGTTTTGTCACAGAATAAACAAATTTTGGATTGTACATATTGTAAAGAACTCTTCGCGCTTACAAATCTATAATTTGCTGCTCTAGTTTGGAAAATGTTTATTTTGCTTAGATTTTGAAATTTTAACCAATACGTTTTAGTCGCCAACAACATTTTTGAACAAATTCCATTGTTTGCATTGAATCATTTAAACTTTAGCATATCTGCTCTTGTCTGTCTCTGTGTGAGTGCTTGTTTTGAGAGTGCGTTCAACATTTTCCAAAACTTGAAACAAGATGGCTGCTTTCCTCAGTACTCATGTGTTCGTGTCTGAGTGTTTGTGTTTGCCCCGCAGGCACGAAAACTTTAATTTGAGCTTTTTGCACGAGTAATAGTTGAAATTATATTATAATTTTACCGCTAGAGCAAAAACAAAAACTTCTGAGCGATAAGATGGGTAAGAACAAGGGAATTTTGTGTGTCTACTTGTCTCTTTCCTGCTGACTCTTTCTGTCTACTTCTGTCTCCATTTCTCATTTACATTTTACTCTGTCTGTCTCGCCTATCTATCGTAAATGCTTTTAATGTGATGTGCAATGGGCGGGCGGAGCTGTGGCCAAACTTCGCTCAAAAGCGACAACTAAATCCGAAGCGAACATGTGTTTCATGAATGCAAAAACCATGTATCTCAATTTGAACGAGTGTATGTGTATGTGTTTTCTGTGCGTACGAAAGTTTGGGTTGCTAAAATAATCGCTGCTCGCGACATTTCAGCGAAATGGACGCTTTGTTAGTGGCGGCTGCTGATGAATATTGAATTATTTAGCACAACCTGCGCTAAGTGGAAAATATCAAATTTAAGCCACTTGGGTGTTGTATTTTAATCAGCATTTTGGTAGCACGCTGGTGCAGCTGTGTACAACAGAGCTCACAGGGAATAACAGGCTCTTAGTTTTGTTGCGTTGTTGGATTGAAAATTCTCATCTTTAATTTAATAGAATATAATTATAGGGATGTATTTCATAAACTTTTTTAGCTGGCTTAGCGATATGATGAGCATGTGTGGCAGTTCATTTTATATGCGCGGAAATGAGCAAAGCGTGTGGGCCAGGGCTTTGGCAATTAATCCGTCTCCATCACCTGCCTCTTGACTAGGAAAATGATAAATTGTGGTTTAATTGTTCAAAAAATCAACATAGTCACATAACAAACACATTAATTTGAATACATTAAACAAAGAGAATAATCCGTGCGCATGGATATAAATTCTTATCATACATACTTAAATAAGTGCGCTTATTTTTTTATATATACATATATCCACCTTAGAGCTGGGAGATATTATAAAAGTGCAATAAGCCTGAGCCCATTGAAACTGTCTATACTGACTTCACTGACTATACTGACTACATCAATAGCCGGGATGCTCTAGTCTGCCTGTCAAATTGTGCCACAGTTCGAGAGACAGGAAATTTTGAACGTAGAAGATTTTGGGACTTGTTTATGTAAGCCTTTGAAAATAAGATTTGAGCTGATCGGAGCATACTTTTATACTTTGAGTCAGGACAAACAGTTTTATAAGTATATATGAAGATTAGCTCTATCTTTCCATTAACTTATCTCTTCGAAATTTCCAATTCTTTTTTGATTTTTGATTTGATTGCAACAATTCTTGCCTTAATTCCCTTAAACCCCTTCACATTTTCTGTTCAGCGCGTTGCAACTCAAATGTGCATTGTACAAGCAATTACGTAACTCTGTAAGTGGTTGACGTTAACGTTAACGCAATTTGGCACCGTTGTCTTAAAGTCCTTAGCTACTTAAAGTTTTTACACGTTTGCTTACCCAAAGGTTATCGCGACATTCAGCACCTCTTGGCCTTGTGTAGGACATTGTGTCTGTGCGATTGTGGGATGCTTGGCGTGTCTGTATATATATGCCTGCGTGTGTGTGTGTGTGTGTGTGTGTGTGTGTGTGTGTGTGTACTACCTTAATCCAGCAAATCAACAGAAGCTTCCTTTTAATTGCATTGCTGTTATTTCATTATTTCTGCAG